AGTATACTCAAAGTGCTATATATTTAAAGGATTTGTACTATTCATTGCCCCTGTTATTCCCACAAGAATGTATCTTTACCAGCTGTGCCCTGCCTGTACAGGGCAGTAGATGATGATGTGCAGAGCAGATGCTGAACAGTCAGTAACTGATATAATGCCCAGCCCTTGCTGTGGTTTAAACATTATTATGCCACCTTGTGTGTCATAATCTACATGTCAAAGACTAATTTATGGCAGGGCCCATGCATGAGACAGTGTGGACAAGTTGCTTGTTAATAAGTTATTGCTCTGGTCAGGACTCTGGGACTCTATAGTGAATTTGTACAGTTGCAGGGACCTTAGATAAACCATCACACCCAGTTTTCTCTGAACAAACAAGATCCAACATCTGTAAAGACAAAAAAGTCATTCATCCTCTATACATGGTACAATGCACAATCCACTCTGCACCCAGACCTTAATTGGACTTAATTGTAACATTCTTTACTTTAAAAAAAAGTTTCCAATTGGAAATATGAAAAGTGCTCCTCTGGAGTGAGGCAATTTGTGTGTATAAATATACACACAATGATTGATCCATGTCTCTTCCACAAAAGATAAAAAGTCCACATTTTTCTTTCAATCTGTGTCTGTACATAATCCATACAGATTTCAATAGTTTCTGTCCTCTGTTGTTGATTATTACCGTCTCCAGGGGCTTTTTCCTTTCAGGTTTGCCCCGTCACGAGGGGAGACGCCGCAAAAACGTACAACAGAAAAAAATGAAAATAAAAAACAAGGGCAAAGAAGACAAAACAATCTAGAAATCTATATAACATTAAGCCCAGAAATGAAGGCTTTAAGTACATAATGTCTGGTTTGTGTGCACAGACGTGCTAACACCTGTTGATTGAAGTCCTGTAAAGAGCATATGTCAGAAGGAGCTGCTGGGATCAAAGGGCCAGTCCGTGCATACTGGGCAAACTGGACAAGCAAAGGTGCATGAAGAAAAGATAGAGAGGCCTGGAGGGTGAGTCTCAGTGACACCATCGCTCACGTAAACTCTGAGTCCACTTTAGAGAGGGCATGACTGGACTCCTGCCCCACCACTGACTGCTAACAGGATGTGCAGGTCTACTATTAAGCAGCGTGAATGAGTACATCCAACTGGTACAAGAGGTGGCCAGCCCATTTAAAGATAACGATGCCAATGTTCAACAGAAAACAGACAAAAGAAAAACACACAAGCTTTTCAGAGGTTATATATCACCCAGAAATTGCACTGGTGTGATAGTGTCCACATGATGAGCTTAGATGGTTTCACAATGACACAGGAATTCTGTAATTCTGTTCAAAAATAAAGTTGGCCACTAAAGTTGCATCCTTGTCCTTCTCTCCATTTCCTCAAAATCATGCGCTAACAAATAATCAATTTCTGTTCAAGTTGTCAGTCCATGATAAATTCAAGAGAAAAAATACAATGGTCAAAAGGTTTTCAGATTGTTAAATGTTGCATAGCAACGAGAATGCACCCTGTTGATCTTGTTCCTAACAACACTCACAATGAAGCTAGGGCTAAATGAATGGAGAAGACATCCTATGATGAAAGCCTCAGCAGACCTCCATGATTTACCATAACTTCTAACAAGTCATGGTACAGCAAGTAAAAAGTGAAACACATAATGAATACAATAGTAACTGAGGAAAAAAAAAGTTCTAAGTACAATAATAGTGCTACTAAGAATGATATGAATAATATGGACAAATAATTTTAACTACAGTAAAGAACTCTGAAATGCCAAGACAATTAAGTGACTTTGTCTGAGCAGGAACTTATGGGGTGGTTAAGGTAGGCACACGACAGGCACTGCATGCGTCGGGGAGGCTGGGGTTTGGCTGATTGGGAGTGCTTTAGTGTGGCTCAGAGGGCAAACAGGGCTCATTTCTGTCCAGTAATGGACTGTGATATGGAGCGTGGTGGGATCATGTCCAACAGGTACTCTCTCTGTCGATCTGCTAGGCTGGAGCTCTTGTGGGCACCGACGGCCGCTGGATTCAGGTACGCAATATTTAGTCCTGTGGAGTATGACACACATGTCAGGACATGGACTAAGGTTGGCTCTGTGGGTGCTATGTCTCTGAGAATGTGATTATTACCTGGGATGTTGTATATCTGACGATGGCTATCATGTTGGAGTCTGTTGCTGCTACTGCTGCTCCCACTGCCACAATGCTTAGCACTGGTCATACCCATGAGGCTGCTGGCCACAGACAGCTGGGAGGCCTGGGCGAAGTTTGACAGGACACCTCGAGCAGAGTTTGACAGGCCTCGCTGGAGGGACGCCTGGGCTTGAGGCTGGGATGCCTGAGCATACAGATATAGAGTACTGCATCATCATTTGATGTAATAAAAAATCAACAATTGACCAATAATGGTACATATTACATATACATATTACATATTACATATTACATATTAATAGTGGTAATGCTAAAAGTATATCAAGGTTTGGTACACAATTACAGCAAATAATATTGACCTTATTCCACCCCACCCACTTTTGCCGTAAATGCGTCTAATCTGTGCTTTCTTTGTGGTGGCACTTCCGATTCATTTTAATTGAGATTTTGGGGAAAGTTTTGCTGCTAAAATATAAAATAAAGTAATATAGGACATAAATGTGCACCAACAAGTCAACGCTGCTCTGATTCTCTGGGAGGCTTTAAAACTGCTTTGTAGTCCATATATTATTTGTGGTCAAGATTGGCAGCCCCATGCAAAATAATACAGCATGATGATAGCGTGGTCATGGTAACTTCTGGAATAAGGTTAATTGGTACCTGGCGGAGTGCATGGTGTCGAATCATTGAGTCTGTCTTTGAAGAGTTGGAGCCAGTTGAGGAGGAGCTGGGGGAGAGCGTGGCCTGCTGCTGCAGCCTCTGCTCGATCTCCTGTTATGGTAGCAAGCACACAAAGTGAGACCTGAGACAGTCACTGCTCTCGAACTAATTATGATCTTAAGTTTGCGCATTTTCAGTTAAGGAAATGTGATTATATTTACTTTGTCTCTGCTATGAATAAAACATGAATCAAAATAAAACAATAAAGAGCCTTAAACAGACCTGCTCCTGCTGGAGCGCTTTCACAAACGCATTCTTCAGTCGGTTGGTGTGTTCAGCCTTCAAAGCCTTCTTCTGATTGGACGTCATGCATTGTTCACACAGGATCCGTCCAGTCTTTTCCCTCTTCCAGTGCGGTGTGAAGTCAGTTCTGCACTGGGCGCAGAAAAAAGGCTCCATGCGGGACAATGACCCTCTGAATTTACCTAGACATGTGCCAAAACAAATCCATGCTAAACCTGATCCATTATATAGGTTTAAAACAATAAAATGCTGATTATAACTACTTACCCTGACTATCAAGGACGCTCTGCACCACTTCCTCCAGTCCTACCATGTAAATAAACTCACTGTTGGCCGCAGAGGGCAAGAAGTGAAGGAGTGGGGCCGGGGGTTTAGGTGGTGGGATCTCCAGGAGGGTTTTCTCTAGTTGTTTTCTCAGAGCCAGTTTGGCTGCTGCTTGGCTGCTGGCTTGGTCAGTTATACCACCCACTCCAGTGGACGGACTGACGGCAGAGGCCCCACCTAGAGCCCCTGCACCCGCTGCAGCTGCTGCCTGCATATGGGCCAGGTTCATGTAGATGGCACTGGAACTGGAGTGTTGAGATGACACCTGCTGACCCGCCTGCCCAGAAGCACACAGGTACTTAAACAATGTCTAATTGACATCCGTGTTCTAGGCAACTTTCTTTGTTAAATCTGTGGTGTGTAAAGCCATTTTAATGCATCTTCTAATAATAAAAATAGAGAAATGTCCTCTGAGCAAAGAGAAGTCACAACAGCACCAAGAACTTTGACTGAAATGTATAGTATACATAAAGTTCTGTCTTTATTTATGCCTATCTCTAGGTTCAGATAAACATGCTTGACTAAACACTAGAGGGCAATGCCATTTATGATGTGTGTTGAACTGTCACAGCGACCCTTACTAATAATAGATAGACTCAGATAAACATGTTTTATAAATGTTTATAAACATTTATATCACAAATAAATACTCAATAATTAACAAATGTGAATATATATATTAAAGGTTAAGTCTATGTAGAACTAATGACAGCAGTTATTCATGTGAATAAGAGATTAGAAAACACTCAAACCTGGTAGCTGACAGCGTTAGCCATGCTGCTGGAGCGGCCCATGCCAGGCTTGGACAGTCCTCTCTGTCCATGTAACTGGGCAGGGTTAGGTGCAATCACTCGCTGAGACATCAGCATCGGAGGCAAGCTGGCATTGGCCGCTGACCTGATGACTGTGTGGCCCTGGAGACAACAAAACACAATTACCATAAAATTATACTTAAAGCAAGGAAGAAGTAGTTAAGCTTCAACAAAAAAAATATATATATTTTTAAATGTAGGAAAAAAATGTAGGAGAAAATGCATACTGAAGTTTCTTCTCCAGGCACAAATCTCAGGTGCAAGGAATATTGTGAACACCAGGGGGCAGCACGTGTACAGTAAAGCCCTGGTTTAGTCAATAAGACGATCCACTACACAAAGACCTCTCTATACACAAACACAAAGATGTGCTGAATATTTAATCCTGCTCATCATGAAATGGAGGAGTGAGGCGATGCCCTGCATGAATAAAGACTCTCAGCAGAAGGAAATGTCATAACAACGACTATCTAACCACCAGTGTGTGCGCCACAACACTGTTAACCAATTTTACAGCTACATTTTAGAGCAAGACATGTCTGCCATGGAATAGAACCAACAATAAAGGTCAGAATTACTATTACATAGAATAATGTAAATTTAGAATATATCAAACCGTTTTAAATGTAAGTAATTTGATCTGTTTAGTGCTGATCTTTTGAGAGATAAACACAAGCTTTACCCACAGACCAGCCCATCAAAAGCAGGATCACTGCACAAGAGCTGACTTTAATTGTCTTTATTTCAGTCCTCCTCTTACATTTTCCAAAGTTGGAAGCCTCAAATAGCCATTATCTTACTAATTTAATTTTATACCACAACGGCATGCATTAAAAACAAAATGAAACATAACACAATGTTGCATAAATTCCTCAATCCCAATATTTGGAATGACAACTAGTGCATCTTAGACAGATGACTGACCTGAGCAGTGCGTAGGTTCTGGGGCTCTGGGTTGTGCATGCCGGGGCGCGCTGGCAGCTTACTGAGTCCTGAAGAGCTGTGCAGTGGTGGAGGCTGGGCAGAGCTAGCATTCTGGACCACTGGCACCTGTAGACAAAACTAACTGTAATTAAAAATCCAATGACTAATGAACTAACTGTGTTAATGTAGTGAGAAAATAAAAAAGTAAATAGCCTAGGCAATTTGAACTTTACTTAGCCAGTTGAAGAGATTCCTACATACAGTGCCCTAACAAAATTCACTGATTCCTGTACTCCAACTTGAAGCCCCACTACTCAACTTTAAACTGAAAACAAAAACAAAAACAAAAACTGAACTACTGAACTACTAAAACTGACTACTTAAAAAGCATTAACTTTATTATTTTTTCCTCTTTAGCCCTATGGCTTTAAAAAGTTCATGTATCATTGGAGGCAAAGATTTGCATAAAATAAATATTGTTTCTTCTAAATTCCTCTGATTGTAACACCTAATCATACTTAATTGTAAAATGTATTGCTGCTGACACCCTTCATTTTAACTGGAGCAGAAGACCAAGGAGGTACACCAGATCTGAAACACTGAGCTGTAGTGGAGAAGCCATTCTCACCTTCTGCACCATGTTCTCCTTCTGCATCTGACTTTGGCGGAGCTTCTTGAGCAGCACCAGACGGGCCTCCTCCAGACGCAGCTCCTCTCTCAGGGCTTTGATCATCTGCTGCCGCTCCTCTCCAGTTTTACCCTGAAGCACAAAACAGTGACATTTTCTACCTCATTACTGGCAAAGCAGGGGCCTCCATGACCAACTAATAATAAGATGTCATTTATTTAGACATAAGGAGTAGTAGAGTTTAGATTCTTTTCTTGCACCCGACAAAGAGAAAAACTAGATCCAAATTGAAGCTGGGATAAGGTCTGGATTTTGAGTTGTCAGACTGGACCAGGCTCCGGCCTAGGATCCAGAGCCACAGTGAGAACACATAGATGAAGCAGTGAGAGGAAAAGAGACGAAAGCAGAAGGGCAGAGAAATAGCACAGGGCAGAGAGCAACAATCGCCTGTTACAATTGGAGGTAGCAGAATAAAGCATATTAACACAGCTCTAGTAGGCTATGCTTTTACTGCCAATAAAATGTTTCAATTGTGTCAGTTTTTATCAGACATGAACTTGGGTAAGAGGTTTCATAATCACATAGCTTCTTCCTGTTTTGAAGGACTTTTTGAGGACATCTGACCTTTAAAAACATTAATATTTAGATCTGAATAAATTATTGCTGTGGGGTTCTATGAGGAGGAAATTAAATTCTAATATGATATTAGGTACATAGAAAGAAGTATGATTATTTATACAATATAAACTTATCAAGTTATTTGTTGACTCAGAACAATTACCTTCTTAGAATTTGTGATTTTCCTAATTGCTGCTCTGATTGTCGCCTTACGAGAATAAAGTGTTTGTAAACCAAAAGGAGCCTGTTATGAAGTGAGCTACGGTAAAATACATTTTATCTCCTCCAAAACAAATCAGGTCATCACTGTTAGAATGTGTTTTACGGGCTGAACAAAAGTTAGGTTTAAATAAATAATTCTGATAAAATCAATACTCAAATTCCAGTTTATAATTTTCCGCACATACCTCAATGCTGCTCTGTGATTGGTTCGCCCACCAAATTAACTATACACTGGGCACACTCCAAGATGGATTCTCATAAGTTTGTGAACTCACAAATATCACAAGAAGTCTTAAGTGTTTACAGATCTGTTTATACCTGTGTTGCCTGTGATTTATCTGACCGGTAGAGCAAATGATGTAGGAATATAGGCCTGAATTCAACATGTAGTTGGTATTTTTTTCTGTATTGTAGTTTTTTGTCCTTAGGTATATCATTAAAATGCACAAGGCACCTTTTATTAGTGTTGTTAAATAAAAATGATGAAAAGTAGATGGTCTGATTTTGTTGGCCAAGATATACATAAGTTGTCATTTGTAACAGCAACGGAGCTCTACCTTAAACATTTCGAGGTTGGCACGGTGCATTTTCTCTTCGGGACGAGGAGTTGCTCTTGGGCTGGATGCTTCATTGTCTGACAAAATAATGACATCGGGTGATGGGGTTCTTCTTACATGGTCTGCATCACTGTGGGCAGAAATGAGAAGTTTCATGCATGTATACTCAACTTTTTGAAAGCGCATGTAAGAAATGAAGAATTAGCCCAGAAAAAACAGCTTATTCAAGAAGAAAACCCCAGATCTGTTGCAGTTAAGATATACTTAATTATACATAATTGCAGTGAGAGACCCACCTCCAGATGTTGAGCTAGGTTTGGCCAGGACAATATCTGTACAACACAGAATTAACTTACTCGGCCTGGTTCAGGTTCATGGGGAATTCTAGAGTGCCCAGTGGAAACAATTGTTGACTGAAGATAACTATAGAAGCACTCACCCTCTTCTCCCAGCACTCATATCCACTGGTTCATCCAGGATATTCTCCTTTCCATTCTTGGTCTGTACAGCATGGCTGCTGTGTCCCCCAAGCCGCAGGCTCCCATTTATCTTCTCCTCATAAGAGCCAGTAGCCATGGTGCTTTGGTGGTGCAAGGTGCTAGCTCCAGGGCCCTTCCCGTCTCCAAGGGGTCCTGCCACATCCAGACCTGCTAGATCAGCAAGGTCTTTCCGTTTCAGCAGTGCCAGCATCTTGAGGCGCTCCATGGCCTCGTGGCCCTCCATCTTCAGCCGCTTGGCCAGAGCCTCATCGCGCTCACTGGAGTCTAACCCCCTCTTCAGCAGGTTCAGCCTGAGCGCCTCCTCAGACATCCGCTCCATCCTGGGGAGACAACATCAACACTAAATTAAACTTAAAGGTAGCTCTAATACATGCACAGAAGAAGGATAAGTGTTTTTCAGTAAAGACTTTAATGTAACCCAAATATATTTCATGCAAAAGCAATTAGAAGGACCACAGATTTATTAGTGTGCTTCAAGTCTAAAGAGAAAGCTTATCTGATATCTGTACTACTGTCCAACAAACAAAAATTGCCTCTAGTTTGAAGGCGATGACCCACATCTTTTTTAAAGCAGCCTTTCAGGAATGAAGACAAGAGAAAGTGCTAACACAGTGCCCTGCTGCGACCAGGGTTAAACCAGCTCTACAGTGTGCAGTGAATCTGATCATTCAGGCCTGCTCTCTTTGCTCTGCACCTGGGTCCAACCAGACTCAGACTACAGCAATGCATTATGGTGGATAGTAAAGTAATAAAACATAAGCTATCCACGACAAGCCAAACTATATAAAAATCTTTTTTTTTTTTTAATTATTTATTTGTTTATTTATTAGATAGATAGATATAGATATATAGATATATATACGTAGATTGATAGTCTCACACATGTTAAAGTTGTTGATACTTCTTTTGGTTCACTGATAATTTTCAAAAAAGATGGAGAACAAGAAGCAACCTCAATTTATAAAATCAGTGACATACTTCAGTCAGATGTCTAACAACTCTCATGATTTTGTAAACTAATTTAGAGATTTACTTCAATGAAACAGAGCAAATGTGCAAATTTAGAGCATTTGTATTCACAGTAGTATATCAAGCACATCTAATTGTTTCTTTTGTTACTTAATCGGCTTCCTAATTATTCATCCCAAATCTGATCGTATCATTTCCGCTTGTGTATTGTAAGCATGGAAAAGGATGCAAGGACTGTCTCTCCTCCGATGTCTCTGTTATCCCGCTCATATCTCTGGCAGCCTCTTTAGCGCAAGGAGGAGCCTTAATGATGGCATACAACAGCCCTCCCTGACACTACTTCTTCTCTAATTCATTTGTGACGCAGCAGGGAGCAGACTTGTGCCTCCATTTGCTGACAGAAAACCTTGCTGCTGAGCCTCCACCTTTAATGAGGCATGGAGCGCCTGGAAGAATGCTGCCGGGCCAATCGTAGGCCGCTACCAACTGGACGTCACCAACTGGCACCTCGCACCATCACCCCCCACCCCTCCCTCCCCCTCCTTCCACCACTGCCGACCGCCTTTACATAATAAAATGACTGTTTCACTCAGCTGCTACACAAGCCACACACTCGCTCTGCTCGGGTCTCAGTTCTAGCCCCGCCCTCTATGCCTTCACCAAGGCCCTCCCACTCGTGACTATCAACCCCTCTGGGCTCTGCCAACCCAATGCAAAGAGAAGCAGGAGAGACAATATAATAGGTGAGGTAAAATATGCCGTACACTGATGCAGCCATTTTCCATAGAAAAATTTATATAATATAAGTTGAACCAAAAAAAGTTTCTCTGGCAAAATGTGTTTACAACTTCAGTATTGCTTTACAGAAACTGTGATGAAGTATACAGGGCTGTTGGATTGATTATGTACAAATATTTAATGCGTTCCAACAGTAGGCAGAATTTTGTGAGGTCCTTTCATGATCCAGCTGTAAAGTACCACAAAGAAACCCCTCCCTGCACCTCTACCCTCCCCCCAGTTCCTCGAGCCGTTCTCCCTCTTTCACTGTAAAAATAAACACATGCTTACTTTCAGGGGCCCCTTAAATGTGGCTGGAACGGAGGGGTTCATTTGTTCACGTTACATTGGCCAATCAGCTGCGGACATTCACTGTGTAGGCATGTGTGTGCAGGCATCCAGGACTTGTGCGAGATCCGAGGGAGGTGTAGTAAAGAGTGACACTTTGAAGATACAGTAAGAACCAAGGAAATGTCTTTGTCTTGTGCTGTATGCCCACACTGGAGAGGTTGTGTGTGTACACTCGCAGAGCGGAGACAGAGATGGCAGCTCTCTGCTGACATAATGCCAACTCTTAATTCCCTTCTCCCATCCCCCACACACACCATGTTCTTTATGCACAGTGCGCCCTGTCGATCAGATGGCTGCTGCTAAAATGTCCTCCTTACAATAAACCAACCACACGTCTTAATAATAGCCCGCTACAGAAGAGCCCTTTGAGCCTGTCAACACCAAATTAATACGACTGGTTAAATAATGGGTCTGAACGTATGAATATCATTTGATTAACTCTAATGATATTAAATCCATTTGCATCTGCACTGTGCCATTTACTGTCCTCATGTCACCAGCTTCACAGAGACTTAGCAAGGAAACCACATGTGCCAACTGCCAACCCTGAATGCCCTGTAGTCCGTGCACACCAACAACCAGTATGTAGAGTTAAGTCTGGGTCTAGGCCAGAGCACTGTGCTGTGTGTACAGTGTCTCAGCGTATCACTGTGCCATTACCTGATAAATCTAATTAGCATTAGTTAAACTATTAGTTAAGTAAATTCCTAATTGATTAAAAAAAAAAAAAAAAATCTCACAGAAAAATGTCAGCCTAATTGTGGTTTCATGTGGAGCAGCGCCATGAAAACTATCATGCAATAATAAGTTGCAGTTTGATGAGTGTAATTAATAGATTCCCAAATAATTACACACTTAATATCAGAATAACAATAGATATGTATGTCATCACTTTTATGTTTTGTTTTGTACAGTCTATAGACTTAAGACTATGTCTTATCTCTGCAAATCTTTTTTGATTTAATGGTACAGCAGTGAAGAACAGTAGAGCGGGGGGGGGGGTACCAGAAAGTAAAGCAACAGAATTACCTTAAGTATAAAAACAAGCCGGTAAAAAGGGTAAAATAAAAGAACTAAATAAATTCACCTGTACCCCAGTCTAAAAGACAGATAGGGGAGATTGTGCCTGCTGCTATTAAATAACGCAATAGTTTTCCAGTTATCAGAAAGGGACAATGATATATATTCTGATAGTTCTTAGTCAAATGAAATAAAAATGAAAAAAGAGGGAGAATATTAAGGAACCATTCATCATTAAACTTTTAATGCTTTGCTGAAAAATGCACCGTGTGTATAAAAATAAAGGTTTATAAACAACCAACGCAAATTACTGCAATACTGAGATTGAGCCTACATCCAAATTTAGAAACAATCTTTACATACTACACAATACTTTTTCATCTGGGGTAATATAACAAAGCATATATACAAAAAAAAATTAAGAATGAAGGGCACTCTCATGCATGTCTATTCTGCAAACATATCTACTTCCCTCACTTTAATTCTCATTCTGGTTATGTTAATCACGTTAAACCTCCACAACAGTTCTTTGTCTGAAATGAACTTTCAGACACCATCCACACACATGTTGCCCAAGGTGCCTCACTTTTAGGACACATTCAGCACATTCCTTACATTAAGAGACTGGCCAGCAATCATGAGTTTATTTTTTCATCTACAACCAAGAAAAGGGAGTTAATGGACACAAAAATACATAATTTAATGATTAAGTAAAAAGAATATTGTTCAAACAAACTTCAGCCACAAGAGGTTGGGTAGATATAAATGTATTTATTTTTAATGTATGCTATTTTTATTCATAGGAAGAATGCCTCATCAAGGTCTTACAGAGAACTGAATACACGTAATGTACAGAGTTGAGAAATGTGAGAATGGATAATGCCATTAGAGTCCAGCTCTGTATCTTTCTTCCTATATGAGGGAGCCAGTGGGTTGGTGGAAGACTATGCTTCATGTTATCTGGCAGAGAATGTAAAGATACATCATGAAACATAAATAAATCAATACTTTCTACTTTAATAAATACTTTACAGGGAGTACATGACACATGAAAGGTAAGAGGTGCTAGCAACTTGTTGCTAAAATAAATTATTTCCTGTATATTTCCAATTTACAAGTTGTATATGTATTAATATGTAATTGTCTAATATTGATTGCAGACCTCAGTAATGTGCAGTATCGTAAATGTATTGCACTGTAATTTTAACATTACGTAGAGGGTCAGGTCCTGTGACTTTATACTATGGTGTATTGTTTGCAGCAGAACTGTTGTGATTTACATCACTGGTAGGTTTGAATTTTCCTGGCCAGCCAAGCCATGCCTACAAAGACGTGCAGTGTTGTCACCTTGAGTTCAGATGTGTGTAGTTTAGCCAGAGAAAACAGGTGAGAGAAAATAGAAGCTTTTGTTGTAATTGACAGATGACCAATGAGTTTGTTTGTTTGTCATGTGTCAAAGAAATAAATCAACCTGATTCCTTGGGTCTGTCTGAGTTTGGCCTGAGATGAGGGGAGGGAGAGGTGACCAGACTGTAAATCCTGTACATAGATTTTCAGCCTGCATTTATCATGCAGGGGTTAAATACAGTACCTTTGAAATTCTAATTTAAAATGATGAGTAGCGACATTTGTGTTCAGTTTATTTTCCCACAAATGTTGCAGTCAATAATTCCAAGACATCTGCTTTTTTACTGCTGACACAATGGGGAAAAGAATATTCTAAGAAGCTAAAAAGCTAGTTAAAGGTTGCACTATGCAACTTTATGATGTATAGTCTGCCTACTGCAGGGGTCAACAAACGTTTTTCTCTGGGGGCCACATTATCACTCCTGGCTGTGACGAGGGGCCGGGGTCAGGTAGGCCTTTTAACAGAATTGTATGACCCAGACCAAAATGACCACCAGCAGGCCTCATTGTGTAGTAGAAACTACCATTCTGGCACAGCCATCCACCATGCTATATCAACACATAATTCCTGGCACGTATTTGTTTATTGTTACTAGCGTTCCTTACTAGTGTTCTTAACTAGTCCTTAACTGCACTACAGTCCTGCTGTCCTTAACTGCACTACAGTACTCTGCTCGTGCGTTTATTGTCACTGTTTGCTTGTCAGGTGACGAAAATTGTAATGTAAATGTGAATATAATTATTTAAATATAAATATAATTTGAATAAATACATAATAATACATTGAAAAAAAAAA